ACGCAAGCAAATTTTAGCTTAAGGACGTTGAATATGTAATATTTATTCGCGTATTATCGTGTTAATTATCTTTCGAATATTTCAATTTAATTTTCACCCCTTACCCGATTATTCATAAATTAATAAATTAATTCGTTTCACTAACATCACCCTCTTTTGTATTAACATAATTTTCGCTAATTATACGTGAGTATCTACTGATGACGTAACTATTATATAATAATTTTATAGATGTATTTTATATTGCTATTGACGAAAAGCGCAAGTACATTTTCAGTATTTTCGTTTCTCATTTAATGAGGTTTGTAATTTCCAAGACGTAGCGCCTTAATTGGAACACGCCAACAAATTATTCTGTAATAACATCAAAAGCACCAACGTCCCAATTTACGACGACGTCGATAAATATATAAAGAACAAAGTCGTTTTTCAATATTTGATGGGTACGCGTTTTGAGCCAGTACACGCTACGAATATAAGCCCCGTAGACACACCGGGAGAATCTATCAAAATATTATTATTCTGCAAATATTCGAAAAGAAGCCTGTTTGAAGTTTGAAGGTCTAACAGGTAAGACGCGAGGTGTTTTCGTATCAAGCGATGCTAAGGTGTTCTAATTTCTCAGGCAGTTACCAATTTTTCTAATCAAATACGTACTACACTACTACTACGTAATAACAAATGTTCACGATTGGCTTCCACGGTGAAGGAATAGCATCATGTAATAATAAAAATCGATCAAACAAAATTAAAATTAGCGTAATTACTGATGATAGGACGTCTTGCAACTCCGCACGGATAGGTACAACGATCCTTCTGCCAAAAAAAACCTTTATTTGGTACTCAGATGGCCAGGCCACATAAGAAACAAACACGATAAACTGAATTATAGAGTAAACGCCAAAGCGGGATGGTAAACTAAATGGGAGAGTGCGTTGATGAAACAAAATAAATGCTCACGATTGACCTCTATGGTGAAGGAATAAGGTCGTGTAATAAAAATCAAACCCACAAAATTATAATTTGCGTAATTACTGGTGGTAGAGTGTCTTGTGGCCTGTACGGCTAGGTACCATCATCCTGTCTATATATGCAGTGAAACAATAATGCGCTTGTTTCAAGGGTGGGGCAGCCGTTGTACTGTAAAAACTGAGACCTTCGAACTCATATCTTAGGTGGGTGTCGGTATATACGTTGTATATGTCTATGGGCTCCGGTAACCAATTAAAATTAGTTAGGCCGTGGGCTCGTCCACACATCTGAGCAATAAAAAAGAGAATTATATTTTTTTATCTGCAAACAGTCACATGAACTGAGGGCACGGCTGGTTTAAGTTTCTACTAAACTTCAAACCATACCATAAATATATGTACAAACAACAGTATAATTGTCTGTGGTTTGCCTTGAAAAAGCAAGTCTTAATCTCAATTGTATTGATAATAAGTGCCCCACTTTTGGACACACGGCATACATAATTATTTCGCGACAGTAATAGGCAGGTGATACTTACTACCTATAGGGTTCCAAAATAGAATACCAGCATAAACCTTTTTAAATTTTATTTGTTTGTCTGTTTTTTTTTGTTTGTTATAAATTTGTTAATACAGAAGTAGGTATAAAAATAATGTACGTAAATAATTTATTAATAAAAAGTTTTGCTCGGTCAAATGTTATTTATCGATACTACATATATTGCTACCCAGCGATATCTATGAATCGTCAATGTAATAAATAAAAAATACGTATGTATATGAAAACTGTGTAGAAAATATTATGTTTAATGAATTTGAATATTATACAATTACACATGTTATGTATTCGTATCAAATATAATTGTTGGATCAATTAATACGAAAGTAGTGTTATTAATATTATATCTTTATGTATGGTATTGGCAAAAACGAGACCTTAGAACTTATATCTCAAGGTGGGTGGCGCATTTACATTGTAGATGTCTATGGGCTCCAGTAACCACCTAACACCAGGTGGGCTGTGAGCTAGTCCACCCATCTAAGCAATAAAAAAAAAACCGTCTTGATTCATAAGTAAAAAAAATTTCAAGAGAATAAAGAAACTTTGAATCGGTGAGGGTATATCATAAAATATATTATTATAATAGCTATATTTAGTAAACCGAGAGTTGTGAAGTAACTTGAATGTTCGATAATTTCCTTATCGTTTTAATATTAAGCTGATGACTTCTAATACTGAATTGTATTTTATGAAATCTTATTCGTAAAACACCTTGTATTTGTTTTTTAAATGATGCGAAGGAATGTGTTCACAGCTTTAAGAAAACTACCTACACGGTTTTGTAACATAAAGGCAAGTCATTAAAAAAAATTAGGAAGTAGAGATACAAGTATTAATCTTAAAATGCCCTTTCACAGAAAACAATAATGTTTAACAGTGCATTAAACCTAATTCCTACTTAAATATCGTCAAAGTGTTTGTTTGTTTGCTTCTTTCACGTAGAAACTTTTTAAAAAACGTTTTTAAAGTTATAGTTTTAAGTCAGCAGAAATTAACGTTATCCCGAAAGAAAATAAACTTTCACACTTTCCTACACTACACGGGTGAAGCCGCAGGTGACAGTTAGTAATTTATAAATGTGTGTTCGACATCATGGTTCAACGTTACTCATAATTAATTAAGCAAATGTAATGATGTTTATTTAATAAACAATATATCACTGACGTTATCGTTACCTTTAGCAAGTCACGTTTGCAATGTTCGAAATTGTAATTTGAACCTTATAAAAACTGTACTTGTGTGTATTTTATTATATCTACATAATTTCGTTGCTAGGGACTTTCGGATCTCACTGTGACTTACGCCCCCTGCCGAATGATTGAATATAAATGGAAATTTTCCACGTAATTTTAGCTTCGTTCTATCGATATATCCAATAAAAAGGTGAAGCAATATCTAAAAAAATCAATGGAGTCAAATTTTACGTACATTATTAAAATAGCGTGAATCTAAATTAAAAACCTAACATAGTCCTGACCTCTGTGAGACCTTAAAAATCTTCGAAACATCTGAAATAATATAATGCCAATGAGAAACGCGAGATTAAATCGTAAAAATTGATTTTTACTGCAATAGATATAAGTATAGACTCAAAAAATTAAGAAAATTCTAGCATGAATCTTTACGAAATTTGTAATAAAATTTTAAAATTATAAATATTAAAACGTCATTATCAACTTCTTCGTTACTTGGTATAATTTGTAATATTATAATACACTTTACACAAATAATAATATTCAACAAGAAGCAAGTTTTTGAAGACGTTTGGGACAAAAGTCTAGATCTTTCTTCTGCTAACTCTGCAAGTTTGTTGAATCTAGGCCAGGTTATCTAAGATCAGATCCTGGTTTTCAATATGATATTTTGACAGACTGAATACATACAACAATTCTAAAAATTTTAAATATCGTCGCTGTCAAACCAAAATCTGCTATGTGCAAAAACTCTATTTTGAATTAACGAGTAAAAACATTTTCGTATAAAATTTTATATAAAGGTGAATTTGAAGAACTATATCAAATGAAAGCTATAGATAAATGTTAAAGCTATAGACACATACCAGTTTTTTTATACGGTAGATAGGGCTGTGAACTATACGAAAAGGTCAAAAAGTAAAAATCTCAAAAAAGTGCACATAGCAGATTTTGGTTTGACAACGACGGTATTCAATATTCAAATTTTTAACACAGAACCTTTCTGAAAGTATATCAGTCAAGATTTACCAAGATAAATTATAGTCATATATTTGATTTTTCAATAATTTAAACTACAAAATTTATAGTATGTTTTGATCTGACAAGAAGCGATTGCATCTAAACATGAATGTAGTGATTGCACAAGCATTCCCAGTGGCCATCTTACTTTCAACACAAGTATTAATGGCGATGTTCTACTCACGAACGTTTCCTATTCGTAATGCTTCATGTACAACATAATATTCAATATACATATGGACTTCTTTGAATAGGTACGGAAGGCGAACACGAAGAATACAGGGATTTTTTTTTATTTTTTATAAAATCTTTTTTTAGCTCTAATTTATTTTCAGAATCATATTTTTATCGAATTTGGAAATAACACACCCTGTAGTGTTTCTGAAGGTCACTACTTTCAATGAAGAAACTATGCCTTCTGTACAAAATTATCCCTTTTCTTTCGTGTGGCGTTACCTGTAATAAATCGATCTCTGGTTACTTTAGTCGAAATGATTTTACATAAAGACTCCCCAAACACATTCACTATAGAGAAACCAAATTAGGCTGCTTTATTTAAACCTAAAGAAAGAAAGGGAATTAAGAAAAGCTACATAAATATTACGTAAGACAATTTATCTTTTAAGTGAATACTGGAGCTATAGACTTAAAAACGTAAATGATTTACGTAATTAATCACCTACAATGCCTCAGATAGGTCACAAACACCAGTACAATGTTGCTTAATATTATTACGCTGTTATCTTTTTTTATTTTATTGCTAGATGGGTGAACGAGCTCTCAGCCCACCTGGTGTTAAGTGGTTACTGGAGCACATAGACATCTACAACGTAAATGCGCCACCCACCTTGAGATATAAGTTCTAAGGCCTCACGTATAGTTAAAACGGCTGCCCCACTTTCAAACCGAAACGCATTACTGCTTCACGGCAGAAATAGGCAGGGTATATACCTACGCGCATACCTACCCGCGCGGACTCACAAGAGGTCCTACCACCAGTAATTACGCAAAATATAATTTTGCGGGTTTTAATTTTTATTACACGATGTTATTCCTTCACCGTGGAAGTCAGTCGTGAACATTTGTTGAGTACGTATTTAATTAGAAAAATTGGTACCCGACTGGGATTCGAACATCGGTGCATCGTTTAACACGAAGGCATCAGACATCTTATCCTTTAGGCCACGACGACTTTATCTTTCTGTTTTTTCTCTTATTTCTCTTATTGAAATGCCTTCTTTTTTGTTCTTTCAGTTGTGTGGTTGAGGCAAGCTCGTCAACATGGGGAAGCTTCTCTCGAAGATATTCGGTAACAAGGAGATGAGAATACTGATGCTGGGACTCGACGCTGCTGGAAAGACTAGTATCCTTTAAAAATATAAACATACATCGTTTGTGGAATTAATGCTTTGAACATTTTAAATGGAAGAACTAAAAGCAAGGAAAATTAAAATAATTTATTTCTAACAACGTAATGAGCTTATGCAAATTGGACGCGGTATAGCGGGCCAATGTGAAGGAAGGGGAAAGGATTCTACCTACACAATTAGACATACAGATGTATACCGTTTATTTGAATTAGATGTTCCAAGACCGTTGGAAATTATGATACGTCTTGCTCACTCACTGTTTGAGTTTTCGTAGCAAGAACTTATTTTTTGTACCAAATAGCCGGGAATTGGGTCACTTGTATTTGATTACGTTCAGGTGATATTTGTTTGCAGATGAAGATTAAGCGGCAATAAATACGAAACCGATAACTTGTAGTTTTGGTGTTATTGAGTACTACTATCTTCATCTGGATCTCATATACAGTCGGCGTCATTGCGCCAATTTGAAAAGACCCTCTTGTCGTGGCCGCCCGGTATTACATACCCGATCCTGTGGATCCTGTGAACCGAATGGTAAAAAGTTGATGTCGCCCTGAACACTTCATTACGGATCCTCCCGATCCATAATGGTGTTTTTAGGTACTTCAAGCATCGGTTACCGTCCTCGCCGAACCCATCGCTTGCGACGAAGGACTCGACGAGTAATTTAACCCATAGACACAGCCCACTGAATTTCTAGCCGGATTTTCTTAGTGGGTCACGTTTCTGATACGGTGGTAGATTCTGCGAAACATTGCTCTTGCTAGGGCCTTTGTTAGCAACACTTCGGGTTTGAGCCTCGTGAGCTCACCTACACATTAGGGTGAAGCTGAAATAGCCTTCCAAGCCTCTCAGCATTGGTATGAAAAAAAAATCTTCATCACATTGCTGTAACCACACGATGACCACACGGCCCGCCTCGTGTTAAGTGGTTATCGAAGTATTTAGGCATTATAATCTGAAGACCCAGACACGCACCTTGAGGTACCGACTTTTCAATCTTCTTGTACAACATCTATACCACTTAAACCGGAACCCAGGACTGCTTCGCGGCAGAATTGGGCAAGGAGATTATGGCACTTACCCGTACAGGCCTACAATATGTTCTACCAGCAGTAAATACACAGTATAATAACACCTTGTTACAGTAACACTGTGACAGTAATTAGTGAACATTTGTTAAGTAGGTACGTATTTCTTTAGAAATTCGGTAACCGTCTGCGTAATTGGTTTTAGCCTACGCCGACTTATAATTTCATGAAATATCTGCATTTTCAATCACGTCAAACGTCAAATTTCCTTAGCGTGTACCATAACAGCCATTTTATATAAGTTAAAATTAGGTCAGTCTGTCACGACAATACCGACAGTGGGCTTCAACGTTGAAACCGTAACGTATAAGAACGTCAAATTTAATGTCTGGGACGTCGGGGGGCAGGACAAAATACGGCCGCTGTGGAGGCATTACTACACAGGTACGTGGCAACCCTCTAGGCAATACGTATAGCGTTTAGAGTGTAGTTTGATTTATACATAGTTTTATTTTCTTAGCGTCTAACAAAAATGTTTGTCGAAAACTTTTGGTCGTAAATTTTGTCTATGTGACATGATAGTAATTGTGTCCACCATTATTGTCGTTAGATATATAGAGTTAGGTAGTCGTTAGATCGTTAGATATAGAGCCCATAGACACCTACGACGTAAATTCCTTCACCTACTTCGACACGTAAGTTCCAAGGTCTCAGTTTTTACAGTACAACGGCTACCCCACCCTTCAAACCGAAACGCATTACTGCTTAACGGCAGAAATAGGTGGGGTGGTGGTACCTATTCGTGCGGACTCAAAAGACGTCCTACCACCAGTAAAAAGAATATAGGCCGATGTTTATATCAGTTGGAATGTTTGAAATATAAAAAACCGCCACTTTAGTATACTGGGTCAAACATTTGTTGAGATTGAACATGTATTGTGTTAACGGTGTAGGGATCAAAGATGAATGGCGGAATTAAACGTTTATGTTGCATTGTAACAGTTGAAGGGTTGAAGTTGTCTCCCCTGTCTCCAAAGCTGACTGAGCCGATTGACAGTGAGAAGTCAGTCGCCTTATCGTGACTTAGTTAATATGAAATAGGCCAGGAAATAGCCGGAGCAGCGCCTCTCAGCCTCGAAAGGTCCTAAGGGTCGAGGCATTTACATTTTTTTAAATATATATATTATTACTAGCTGACTATTTTCATATTTATTTACCTTTTAACCCTTCTCTGGACTTACACAAACAATTTGACGTGACAATTCAAGACCAAAATTAGCCAAATCGGTCCAGCCATTTTCGAGCTTTAGCGAGACTAACGAACACCAATTCATTTATATATATCTTAGTAAAAGTAATATGGTGCTAATGTTACAGGCACTCAGGGCCTGATATTCGTTGTGGACTGCGCGGACCGCGACCGTATCGACGAGGCCCGCCAGGAATTGCACAGGATCATAAACGACAGGGAGATGCGGGACGCCATCATACTCATATTCGCCAACAAACAGGATCTACCTGACGGTAATGTTATACGCTAATTGTTTTGTTTTTAATCGCTCTAACATTCTAGAGATCGAACCGGAAAATTTACGGATATCTTAAGTATAGTATTTGCCGTTATTCGTTTGCGCTTAATACATCAACATAATATTTCAGTGGCCTATTTATTGTACTTGAAGATTGAATAAGACACATTTTGTCTTGAATGGTCGCCGAAGGCGTAACACAATATACCAACTAAATAGTTTAATAATACTTGTTTCTGGTCCAAAACCTGAACACTGCGCGTCGTAAGTGTTGGCTTCTACAAAGACTAAGGTACCGAAAACCCGCCACTTTAAATTTTACTGGTGGTAGGACGTCTTGGGAATCCATATGGGTAGGTACCATCACCCTGCCTATTTCTCCCGTGAAGCAGTAATGCGTTTCGGTTTGATGGGCGAGGCAGTCGTTGTAACTATTCTAAGACCTTAGAAGTCATATCTCAAGGCGGCATTTACGTTGTAGATGTTATGGGCTCCGGTAACTGCTTAAACCGCGTGGGCCGTGGGCTCATCCACCCATCTCATCATCAGCCTGCGGCAGTCCACTGCTGGACGTAGGCCTCCCCCAAAGCTCGTCACTGAACCCGATCTTGGGTTCTACGCATCCAGTTACTGCCAGCTGTCTTGCGCAGGTCGTCGCTCCCATCTAGCAGGAGGGCGTCTTATACTACGTTTGCCGGTTCGCGGTTTCCACTCCAGTACACACACGTCTACCCCAACGGTTATCGGTTCTGCGACATATGTGACCAGTCCACTGCCACTTCAGCTTACTAACTCTGCGAGCTATATCGGTCACTTTGGTTTTTGCCCGAATGACTTCATTACGTCCACCCATCTGAGCAATGAAAATAAATAATAGTTTAAAAAAAATAACAAAATACGCTTTTATAGAAAATCCAACTAAAAATAGAAAATAAATTTTAATAAATTTGAATTGAAAATAGTGTAAGAAAAGATGATTTTATTGTAAAAAAAGCGTGGGGTGCATGGTATCAGTAGTTATAAATATTTTATGAACAGATATGAGTAGAAGGGTTATTTTGATAATATCCTGAAAAGCACCCTACGCTTTTTTACATATTTTTACTCTTTTATTTATCTTTAATTTTTTAGTAGAATTTTTTCATAATTTTTTTTTAATATTGAATTGTCATCGTTCCTTCATAAGTATACCAAATTTCGAATTAATCCGACGTTTTGAAGGGGGTCAAAATCATGTTCAAAGATTCCGTTACAAACATACATACGTCTGAAGCTAATAAAAGCGTATTAAAAATAATTCAAGAAATTGACATATGAAAATCTGTGGAAATGTAATTGTACATATTTCAGCGATGAAACCGCACGAGATACAAGAGAAACTGGGGCTGACCCGCATCCGGGACCGGAACTGGTACGTGCAGCCGTCGTGCGCGACGACCGGCGACGGACTGTACGAGGGGCTCACGTGGCTCACCAGCAATCACAAGTTATGAGCTGCAGAGTAGGCGGCACTGACGCTGCACCGCCTTCACGAGACCACGGTACGTACGTACACACACAGCTAGTTACTTTTCTTTGTTGCACGGACGAACCGGTGGTAGTAGGACCTCTTGTGAGTCCGCGCACGCAGATACCACCACCCTGCCTATTTCTGCCGTGAAGCAGTAACGCGTTTCGGTTTGAAGGGCGGGGCAGCCGTTAAACTATAACTATACGTTGATATTTAATACGTATAATCAAACAACGCGAATAGTCTGTATTCCGACGCTCCGCACTTTATATGCATTAATAGAGTCTGTCTACGACGGTTCGCGCTCTAACAGTTAAACAAAAATACATCCGCGTTCGGTGTGTTTTTGAAATCTTGTGTACCAAATGAAATTGAATTTTTAGAATCCTTTTTGCGGCTCTTTGTTAAATACGCTCCCTACGTTATAATCACAAGTGAATGATCACTGAGCGTTCTGAATTCGAATTCCATAACACGGGAAAATATCCTAGCTTAATGTTCTTAACATGGGAACTTTTATAAATTTTTGTTCTCCACACTTTCACAGCGGTAGACAGCGTCTTGGCTATGTCCCTAGCTTTGCTGACGTATCTAAGCGATGGTAACTACTCACCGTCACGTGGGCCGTACGCTCGTCTGCCCAGAAGTGAAAAAAATCGTCTTTCCTAGATTTGAAGTTCATACAATAATGTCTGATTCTCAGATGCAAAAGAATAGTGCTCTGTAGATTTGTAGTTAATTCAATAATGTCTGATTTTCAGATACAAAGGTGTTTTCTAGATTTCTATCTGATCTTCAGATACAAAAAAAGAATAGTGTTTTCTAGATAGATAGTTAATACTCTCTGATTTTCAGATACAAAGAAAAATTAATGTTTTCTAGATTTGAAGTTAATTACAATAATGTCTAATTTTCAGATGCAAAAAAAGTGTTTTCTAAATAGTAATTTCAGTAATATCTGATTTTAAGATGAAAAAAAAAGTCAGTGTTTTTTAGATTTGTAGTTAATACGATAATGTCTGATTTTCAGATACAAAAAAAGTGTTTTCTAAATTTATAGTAACTTCATTAATACCTGATTTTAAGATGCAAAAAAATTTGTGTTTTCTAGATTTGTAGTTAATATAATAATGTCTGATTTTCAGATGCGGATTTTGATGCCATTTAAACTAAGTAAACCTGCCCCCTGCGCGGTCTTATTGAACGTGTTCGGTGTGCACCAGTATCGGTTCACGTGCAGTAACACAACTAAAATATTTCGACCACAGTGAAGGTGCGATAGCAGTGCGCGTTGTGCCGTCTACACTAGGACGATAGATTAGCAAAAAAAAAAACGTATATGTATAAAAATATTATATTCCGTCACATATATTGTGTAATTAAAAACAAAATCAATTATTCCATTTTTTTTTATTTAAACATTACCTAATACAAGAAAAATTACGAAATTTGTAAATTTTTAGTTGATTTTTAGTGTAGTAAAATTTGATTATTTCTTTTGTATTCGTAGTTAGAATGTTTACCTCCATTTTTGTATGTAAAGTTTGGCGACGCGTTTCTAAAATTATTGTAAACGACTTTGTTTCGTGCTATGATTTAATTCGACAGGAATGCCAATATTTTAAAATTAATGTCACGGTATAACAAAATTTATTCATAGTTTTTTCGAAGTGTAAGATGAAATTGAGTGAATTGACTGAGTTTTTATTAAGCTGTGGCACGAATGAATGCGTAATTTATCTAATGCTATGCACCCATACGAGTATTATATGGTATGTGATGTTGCTTGGCTGTATAATATAAATAAATAAATATTTACTAATTATAATGCATATAAAATATATATACATATATATATATATATAAATATTTTTCTAAACTTTTGTTGATTTTGATTATTATTTTTTTTCGTTAAGAAATTAAGTTTACAAATAAATAAATTAATGGTTTGTTTCTTTCTACATCGGGATGGATTTATTTTTAACACTTTATTTTTACTCATAACGCTAAGTTACGAATGGAAAGTTTGCGTGATTAGACTCTGAAATCGATTCTAGCATAACTGTCTACAGTGATGTTGCATTGTGTGAGAAAGTATAGAGATAGCTTTATTCAAAGCTTACGTTGTATGCGCTCTGTCTCGTTTGAACTTGTTAAAAGTTGACTGTCAATGCAAATGAAATTGCTGTAATTAAACCATCCTTAGTTAACTTAAGTAAGCGCTTATTAGTAAGCTCGTAAATATATATATGAATGTATAAAACAAATTCACTTGTATTGGAAAAGTTAAAAACATAATTAAAATTACTGTCTGATGAATGATTCTTGTTTTCGATGTAATGTTTCGTACGTGATAGTATATTTTGAAATGGCCCTCATTTCCATTGAATAAATTGATTCGATGTAATGAAAAGTTATTCAAACAATCTTATCCATTGTTGACCTTCATATATGTAGTCTTTGTTTGTATGTGCTGGAGTGCTTACATTTTTTTTGTCTACAATAACTACATATATGTATCTGGTAAAGATATTTAATTTGTCGCACAGCACGAAATGTTTGCTTGAAAAAAACATTGCAAATATGTTTTCCGTTTAGAACACGGAAATCTTTAAGTAAATGTATTTGATTATTATAACGTTTATAATATTGCAAACACCGTCTGTTAACTAACATCTATGTCAAACTATGCTAACACGTGCGTATCTCAATGTTTGGAGTTTATATCTAATTGCTGTACTAAAATAGTTCTAAAACGTGTGATAAAAAAATACGTTATTCTTTAAATAGAGGGTACTCCGTAACCGCCAGCTAAGCCACACTAACAAATCGACCTGAGCGAAAACCTTTGAGAGCAATAAATTAGCATACAGGATAATTAGCCGAAAATAATCTAGCATTTGTAATATAATTGATATTTGATTAATTATTTCTTTTTTTTTTCACACTTTTCAAGCACGAGCCTGTTTTTTTTTAATTCAAAGAAGAAGATATCATTCTAGTTTCGTGTGTCCAGTGGCGTGCTTTGAACCTTGTAATCTGTGCTTGTAATCTGCATTCAGAAAATACATATTATAATAAATAACATTTATGTGCTCGTTGAGTATAAATAAGTTCAGGAGACGCTCGATTTGAATGAATTTGGTATCAATTTAAAGTTGACAGTTGAACCTTTAAAATGATGTCATTTTTATAATAATTAAAAACTTACATAATAAGCAAGATCGCGCGGAACCAAAGTGATTCCAAACTTTTGCTCGCGTGTATATATAGAAGTTGGTACGAACCTGTTACATAAAAGTATACTAACTCAATATTAAATATAATATTCGTTTATTAAACTAAGCAGCGATACGTGTTATTTTAGTTTCGTGAAGCCGCAATACAACGCGAAGTGAGTTCGCCGTCCCGCGCGCGGCCGTTGACCCCGAGACTAGTTTGTAAATACATTGCGTGTAATATACCTACCTACACGTAAATCATTATTTATTATCGTTAGCCGTTTTTAAAGTTAGTCACTATTTTTACTTACTGTAACACCTGTAACAACTGTAACACCGTTTTGTCAAGGTTAAAGAAATTTATTTTAGTCGAGAACTCTATTTACTCATGTTTACATATTAACCTTATTTACCATATTCTAACTGCACGCTACTGGTATTTCTGAATGTGAATCAACCGCGTTATCGCGTTATTCTTGGTATATTCTGATTAATAAAACGGGCAGTATATATTTTTGTAGTTTCGCAATCGTTCAGAATCATTACATTAATATTCATTTCTATTTCATTTAATACTCAATTTTAGTCCAATTTCTTATAATATCTATAGTTGAGCTTGACTAGGCTCAATAATGTTAAAATAAGTTTATTTTCACACTCGCAAATTCCAACAAAACATTTATGTTAGCTATTTTGATTTTCAATCTTATTTTCTCATAAAATATAGAGTTATGTAAATATTGTGTTCTATAAAACGCATCGAATATGTACTGTATTCTCGGAAAATGTATGAATTCATTCGTGAATGAAATCTGAACCGTATATCTTATGTTAATAAGGTATTTTTTTTTTTAGTATAAAGAATACACTGTAAATTTATAAAAGTTGTAATTCTTTTATTTGCATATCTTGCTGTTCGCTATTATCGATTCGAAATGTAACAAGTGCAATTAAATTAGTAAAATAAAAATTAATAAAAAAAAAGTGCACTGTGTTGTAAAAAAAATATTTTGTATGCAGTACGCTTCGATTAGGGCTATGTGGTCTGAAGTCTAGATTAGACACAAAATGTAAAGCAAATATAAACCGTATGCTCATCGTCCTAAGAGCTTAATTGTTCTAATGACCATTTAGCTCTTATTGATGGTTCTGATATAGTTCAGAACGTGAAAACTAGTTAATTTTTACGCGTTATATGAAGGTACCGAATGTAAGGCGTGGTTGCAGTCTGCTGTATGATATTGTAGAAAGGTTATTCAAATATAAATTCACCCTCGATCATGTTTTTTATTCGGAATTCTGTATAAACCTCTTTTTGTTTTTTTTCTGTTGTGAGTGAATGCGCAATATTTTTTAAATTTTTTTATTGCTTAGATGTCTGGACGAGCTAACAGCCCACTGGTTTTAAGTGGTTACTGGAGCCCATAGACATCTACAACGTAAATGCCGCCACTCACCTTGGGATATAAGTTCTAAAGTCTCCGTATAGTTACAACGGCTGCCCCGCCCTTCAAACCGAAACGCATTACTGCTTCACGGCAGAAATAAGCAGGGCGGTAATACCTGTCCGTGCGGACTCACATCAGAGGTCTTATCACCATATGTGAGTTTTGCGTTTTCGTAAACACGCACGAATTATTCGCCGGTAATCTAAACGAGGCATCATACATTTTAATACGCAGTGTTGAGAATTTCATAATTGCAAAATTGAAAGCTACTAACCGTAAGTAATACCGTATTTCTCGGGACAAAAATCTTGCATATTTCTGTCACTAAGCAGACTAGCAAGAAAACCTATTTATTTACCAGGTGGTGCAGTAGCTAACGCCGTTAATTGCAGGACTGAGAGTCGCGATTTCTGTGACGAACAGCTTTGTTTCTTTTTCTGGGTGGTACATACTTTAAACGAATATGTGTATGTAGGTGTATCGGTTCTTATATTACCGAGAAGGCTAGTTTGCGGCCAGATGACCGTCTGCGGCCATTCATTCCATTATTATACAGACCTCGACAATAATGGGTTGCGGAAAAAGTCTTCGCATTATAGTATGTATGACCTTGCACCTTCAGATTTCCACCTGTTTCGATCTCTTCAGAATTCTTTAGGCAGAGCCAGGTTAACATCACGAGAGGACTGCCAAAACCAATTGTCGCGGTATTTTGATCAGAAGCCACAAAATTTCTATAGCAATGGGATCATGTCCCTATCTACAAGATGGCAAAAAGTTATCGAACAAAATGGTACCTACATACTTTAGTTAAATGTAAATAAACTATATTAAAAAATTTTGTGGATTTTCTTAAAAAATGCGAAGAAACTTTTCCCCCAACCTGTTATGTCCCAAGCTGGATCAGTGGGATTCATGTTAATATTGAATTATAGTATCGCTTCCCAGCCCACTGAATTTCTCGCCGGATCTTCTCAGTGGGCTGCGTCTCCGATCCGGTGGTAGATTCTGCGAAGCACTGCTCTTGCTAGGGTTAGTGTTAGCAACACTCCCGGTTTGAGCCCCGTGAGCTCATCTACACATTAGGGTGAAGCTAAAATAGCCTCTCAAGGCTATCAACAGGGATAGGAAAAAAAATATCGCTTTTAGCGGATAGTTTTGTTGTTTTCAGGTTCAAACTCTAGTTATAGTATAAAATAAATTTATTATGTAATTTATCAGAGATCAAGGGTATTCCTAAGTTACTGGAATGAGATCATCCAAAATCCAGTGCATATACATGAGCAGCTTGGCAAATTTCTTTCTCGACTTTTGTATTAATTTCGTAGCTTTCCTGCGCACCTTTAACCTCAACGTGCTACGTATAAACTTCATAAATTAACTTGTGCTGTATTGCAATCGATTTAGTATTCATTTTGCGTCAGCCTGTCTTGGTTACTGATGATTCGGCAGTAACGTCATCGCAGCGTGGAGGCAAAATTATCTGTAGTTCCTCGTTCAGTGGAACCTCGTCGTCCTGAAGATCTTCCGGTACAGTCGCATCGTAATCATTGACGGCTATTTCCCTGAAAAATAAGGGATTAGGCTCATGTAAGCGGACAGAATGATTCATTGCCCGTCGGGAGATCGAAAGCCTTGAAATAACCGCTTCAAAGTGGAATATACGATTGATTGGTGGCAGAAATAAGTAGTTGATATGTAGAATAGGTACGTCAGTAGTAGGTACGCAATACTTAGTATCAATGGGGCACTAAATTTTCATTACAATACTTGATAAACTAGTATAGTTAGAGTAATTCATTATGATGCATTATATTATAGTATCTCATTCTGTTACACTGTTTAGTTCCGATGTTTCTAATATTTTACAGCTTTCGTGGCCAGGGGCTGTCCATAGCCGTAATGACAATAGAAATCACTAGATCAAACCGTAAAAATATTTTTAATTTGGATTATGTAATGTTGAAATAAGGATGTAGATAGAATAATGAGGTTGCTCCAATTGCATATTCAATTTTTTTTTTTTTTTTATTGCCCTTGTTGGCAGACGATCATGCGGCCCACCTGATGGTGAGTGGTTACCGTCGCCCATGGACTTCAGCAATGCCAGGGGCAGAGCCAAGCCGCTGCCTACAAATCAATTACTTCTGTTTAAAAATTACAACAATAATAGATCATATTTCTATGTTAAAGCCGATTACATATCTTAGATACCTACGCTTGAGATGCATGCATACATACAGACGTACATTAAAATTTGTTGAACAAACAATTTGCCGGAAACTTGATATGTACGATCGTACAAATAAATTTACGTCAGAGGTTAAGGCGCTGTCTAATTACAAAATATTGTATGATTAGGTATATAGATTACATCAACGGGATAAGTAACATTCATTGGCAGCGGCTTGGCTCCGCACCTGGCATTGCTGAAGTCTATGGGCCACAGTAACCACTCACCATCAGGTGGGCCGTGTGACTGACTACACGGGCAATAAAAAAAACATTCTAGGTTAAAACCAAAAAAAAAACTGAGTACGATTTAGAAAAAAAAAAACTTGCTTTCCCGGGACAATTTACATAAATTCAAAAACGTACTTAGAAACACGACTTACTCAGTCTGTTCTGTGCTAGCCCCGGCCAGTACTGAAGTGTACAGTCGTGCTCTGGTCCCGTGAAGTCTCATGCCGGCCGGTACATCTTCGGCGCCGGACTTTGTCTCGGGAATTGGGTGCAAGAAATTCGGCATGCCTATGAGATAAAAACTATTTGAAACCGTTCTAAGAGACTGTGTTAAATGAAGAGATAGGATTTAGAAATAAATTAGCTTTGTGATTATAGAAATAACACTTTAGTTATTATAATCGTTCACCCGGTTGGCCTAAAGATCAGTGGCCTAGATTATTGGACAGGGTCCGGACTGCCTGCCGATGGTTATCAAAGACATTAGGTGCAAATACCACAAACCACCGATAGACTATTTTCAGAACGATCAGGCTACACAAATTTTCTTCATTTCATGAAAACGTCACCGGCGCGTAAAAACTTATATCATGTAAGTACTTTTGGTACATAAATTGAGGTTTCAACCTCATATCTGAAAGCGATTGGCGGCAATCACGATATCAAAAGACGTCTCAAAAGCTGTCATTTTGTTTCATCTTTGGCGGCCATATTTGACAAGTTTGTACTTTTTTTTTTAAAACGAATTATCCACTTTATGCGTTTAAATAGGAAAGGGTAGATTAATACCCAACAACTCCGATCATTAATAACGTTCAAGACAAACTTGTCCACTTGGGGCATTCGAAAAAACAGAGCTTATATAGCTAGCTTTACCTACAAGAGTTGAAAAATGAACGCAAGAAAAGAAAAACGTATAATTAATGACAAACCCTTATCGTGATCCACATTTTCTTGTTTAATCGCTTTAGTTACACTCTGTGCGAACGGAAAGATTATTTGTGATGATTCTTTGTTCTCTGAAATAATGAAAAAGAAATTAAAATGAACCAAAAATTATTTTTTTGCTTTTTATTTTTTGGTAGTAGGACTTCTTGTAAGTTCGCACGGGTAGATAGCACAATCCCGCCTATTTCTACCGTCCTATTTTTAATAAAAAAATAAATAAATTTCCGATGTCCTACTGTGAAAACTGAGACATTATACAGTCCAATTGTCCTGGACATTAATATCGCCACAGACCCGCCGAGCCGCGGTCTAACCCTAAAAAGGCTGCAAATCTTTAGGAGGATGCCATAACGCTGCCAAAACAACGAGGAGTGACCACATTCAATATAATTCGAGCGTGAATGTCGAACACAAAACATTTTTGCTTTGTAATACATTAACGTAATAAGTTTATATGGCAGTAACCATGATAGAACACAAGGTATTTGACAGATGCCTGGTCTCTTTAACGACATTATCAAGAAGGGCATATATACAAGTTCCGAACAATAATATTTGGACCGTCTGCGTCAGTTTTCCAAACCCACCAAGGGAATGAAAAAGGTGACAAAGGGAGTATCTCCATCTCCACTTTGCCGTTTTCTGGTGGTAGGACCTCTTGTGAGTCCGCACGGGTAGGTACCACCACCCTGCCTGTTTCTGTCGTGAAGCAGTAATGCGTTTCGGTTTGAAGGGTAGGACAGCCGTTGTAACTATACTTGAGACCTTAGAACTTATATCTCAAGGTGGGTGGCGCATTTACTTTGTAGATATCTATGGGCTCCAGTAACCACTTAACACCAGTTGGGCTGTAAGGTAGTCNGACCTCTTGTGAGTCCGCACGGGTAGGTACCACCACCCTGCCTGTTTCTGTCGTGAAGCAGTAATGCGTTTCGGTTTGAAGGGTAGGACAGCCGTTGTAACTATACTTGAGACCTTAGAACTTATATCTCAAGGTGGGTGGCGCATTTACTTTGTAGATATCTATGGGCTCCAGTAACCACTTAACACCAGTTGGGCTGTAAGGTAGTTTACCCATCTAAGCAATAAAAAAATACTATTATATATTATAGCGTAGTCTGAAAGCGGCTTATTAAGTTTGTATGGCAGTAGCCATGTAACACAAAATATTTGACAGATGTCTGGTATCGTTAACGACATTATCAAGAATGGCATATATACAAGTTCCGAACAATAGCATTCGGACCGTCAGTTTTCCAAGCCCACCAAGGGAATGAAAAAGGAGACAATGGGAATATCTCCATCTCCACTTTGCCGTTAACCTCCAGAAGCTTTGTAAATATAATGAAAAATTAATTTGGACAAACCGCCTTGGAGACTTCGCGCCGGCAGGTCTGCGTAGCCTCTAAACAGCAGTTCCAATTCATCGGGCTTCATGCGACGTAGATAAGGTACTCGTTTTAGATCAGGACGGTGAAGAGAACGAAACGAGTTCCGATGCTAAGAAAACACATGACCAGGAAAAATATTTAATAATTTTGTAATTAATTTATTATAATTAATTTATAGGTAAGACTAGCGACCCGTCTTCGCTGCGCTTTGGAAACTGTAATTTATTATTGATTTCTCCACTATTTAATGGATGTTATTATACATATAAACCTTCCTCTTCAAACACTATCTTTTTTAAAAAAACCGCATCAAAATCCGTTGCGTAGTTTTAAAGATTTAAGCATACATAGGGATATAGGGACAGAGAAAGCGACTTTGTTTTATACTATGTAGTGATTTCCCAAACAACTGCCACAAAAATTTGAGTAAGAAAAAGGTCAAAACCACAAAAAGATAAATTACATACACATATTCGTATCGAAATAATTCTCGACAGAAGTACCTAACATATTATGTATGTATGTTGCGGCCTATGCTTAGTGGCGAGATCTTTATGTAATAAATTTAGAAAATTTTAAATAAAAATATAAATATTATGTTGTATATATTACACAGCGATCTTTTTTTTTAAATACATGTACATTATACCGGCTATCAGTTAATTGATTATACCAATTAATAAACACTGAACAGGAAAGTCATTTACAAGGCGTCATCAATGATATTCGACTTTTTTAAATGTTTTCATTGCGTAGTTGGTTAAGCGTGCACACGGCTTACTGGTTAAATAATTGCCGGAGCTCACAGCTATCAGACAATTAATGCCACCAACCCGCCTTGAGATAGAAGGTCTAAGTCGCAATTTTGCTGTACAACGTTTCTCTCATCATTCAAGCCGGAAAGGATGACTCTGATTTGCAAAAGAAATGGTAATGGTCATCTACAACGCATTAGTACCGCACCAACGTGTGCTAAATTACAATACGCCATAACACCAGTGTGCTTAGTGCGAGTTTTTTAACGATCTCGATAGCGTAAAAGTTACCTCATCTTTATATGGAACTAGCGACCCGCCCTCGCTTCGCTTCNACTCTGATTCGCAAAAGAAATGGTAATGGTCATCTACAACGCATTAGTACCGCACCAACGTGTGCTAAATTACAATACGCCATAACACCAGTGTGCTTAGTGCGAGTTTTTTAACGATCTCGATAGCGTAAAAGTTACCTCATCTTTATATGGAACTAGCGACCCGCCCTCGCTTCGCTTCAGAAACATTAAAACACACATGAAACCAAAAAAAAAAAAAAAAAAAAAAAAATTAAAAAAGTAGCCTATGTTCATCAGGGACAATGTCGGCTTCTAATGGAAAAATAATTTTTCAAATCGGTCCAGTATAATATTAGTATAGATGGGATCGTTTGCGTACGTTTGCCGCTAGGGGCGCTGTTCCAACTGCATACAAAATTGGATTAACTTTTACGCTATCGAGAACGTTTTTAAACTAGCACTAAGCACACCGAAAGGATTTGAAAAAGGTGCTAGTTACCTTAACAATACCGGGTGGTACTTGTAGCGTTTCGCAGTTGGACATGCTCAGGCACTGGAGGGCGCTGTCATGTTTCACGGAGATCGCAGACAAACCGCTACGCACCAAATCTTCACTTATCTACAAAGGTAGAGCAATGTTACGTTTAAGGTCACTTATTTTGGACGAAATAGATCCAATAGCGTATTTTTATTTATTGCTTAGTTGGATGGACGATCTCACGGCCCACGTGGTGTTCAGTGATTACCGGAGTCCATAGACACCTACGACGTAAATACCGTGTGTGGGTACACAAGACATAAGAGATTTATGGACATCCAAGGTGGGTGTCGCATTTACGTTGTACATGTCTATGGGCTCCAGTAACCACTTAACACCCGGTGGGCTGTGAGCTCGTCCACCCATCTAAGCAATAAAAAAAAACAAAGTTCTAAGTTCTCAGTTTTTACAATACAACGGCTGCCCCACCCTTCAAACCGAAACGCACTACAGCTTCACTGTAGAAATAAGCAGGGTGGTGGTACCTATCCGTGCGGACTCATAAGACGTCCTACCACCAGGAGGACCAGAGTACCACTTAAATTGAATACTCAAGCATTTCGCTCTACGATCGTACAAACAGATTTCTTTTGTCGGTGAGGGTTTAGCCAGAAGATATTCCTGATACATTTACTAGATTACCTGTGAGGTTGGTTGGATTAGAAGCTGTCCCACCTTTTGCTTAGCTTCATAAGCATGGTGTTGATGTTGAAGAAAAAATTGTGCAACTATGTTTTTTATTTCTTGTTTAATTTTATTTCTTGTTTTATGTTTTCTTTATTATATTATATATTTATACATAGCTGGATATATAGTTATATACTGTGCGTTACAGCGCACGTGGAGAAGCACGGCACGTTATGCCAATGTCCAAATTCCGCGGGTAGTTACCAACTTTTGTAAGTAATGCTTTCCCAACAGGTTTTGAAGAGCAATTACTTCCATATTTAATAGCAGAAAAAATACTCAAAAGAAACCTAAATTTGCAAAATTACTGGAGGTAGGCTATTTTGTGAGAGGGAAAAGCAAGTTACCGCCATCCTGCAGAATACTGATGTAAAGCGGTCACACGTTTCGAATCTGTTTTGGTGGTGAGTGGGTGGCGAGATTCAGGTTTACTGGTGGTAGGACCTCTTGTGAGTCCGCGCGAGTGGGTACCATCACCCTGCCTATTTCTGCCGTGAAGCAGTAATGCGTTTCGGTTTGAAGGGTGGGGCAGCCGTTGTACCTATACTTGAGACCTTACAACTTATATGTCAAGTTGGGTGGCACATTTACGTTGTGGATGTCTATGGGTTCCAGTAACCACTTAACACCAGGTGGGCTGTGAGCTCGTCCACCTATCTATGCAACAAAAAAAAAAAAAGGTGGCTGTTTTTATGGGTTCGGATAATTACTTAACACCAGATGGCATCACCTGTATGCGTTCAAAGTACGCCAAAAATAAACTACAAATAAACCTTAAGATAGCTTATTTCAAAAGCTGTCTAACATCCCAGATCTTCATAGATCTTCCCAGATTTTAGTTCTTTTGGTTATATAATTTAGTCACGCTATGTGGGTATGAATATATTAAAATATATAAATCTGAGCACCCAAGAATACAACATTATGTTCATTTTATAATTGAGCGGCATTTTATGCACCTACCTGTAATTCCCGTCCCTCACAACAAGGAACAAGGGGGGGCAGTTCTTCCTTGAGCCTATGAGCAGATAGTCCTGTAGTTACATTGTCTCCACTAGCAACAGGGTTCATTTGAAGAGAGTTGTTAGATTTTTTCTTCAGATCACACGAGCCATCCTTCATATTGGCTATTTCATGTTTGGTCGCTGATATTACAATATTGTTGTATTCCTGTAGTAGCTTCATGGTTATTTAGGGTTGATGGTGATGGGAGGTAGAAAACTGTACTTTGTGCTAAGACGTGTTCAGTTGGTGGACATCATTTTTTGTTAGGTTATTTAATCAATGTTTCTGTCAGTGGTCGATTTTCTAAATTCAAATTGATATTTTGAAAGGATCAAAAAGGTTTTCAATTAAAGTTTATCTACTCAGAATCGAATTAAAAAATAAGAAATAACCACACGCTTCACTTTAAGATTATGTTCATAAACAAAAAAGGCGAAACTAAATGTATGTACATATTAGATAGCTAAGCTGCGTCTCATATTACTGACAGTGAAATATGATTACCGTTTAATACTAACAGGGACAGTTCGTGTGCAAATATAATACTAGTATACTGTTAATCTACAGAATGTGGCCTTTTGTCAAAAGCCTTTGAATTTATAAAAAGAAGTTAAGTGAAAATCTTTAAGATATTCCATTAAAACACAAAAGATCGACTCAGCGAGTGGCTTAGGGAGAGTACTCCTTAATCTCAAACTGTATCGAAGGCTGATCACGTACGTATTCGTGCCAGATTGCTTGCTAAAGGTCGGGAATCACGAAAATTAAGCACTCGGCTCCTTTCAGAAAATTGGGTTATTTCCATACTACGTACTTTCCATAATACGTTTGAAAATTGGTACCATTATTTTAAACAGCAGTGCTACAGAAGATTTTGTCAATCGATGTATTCAATTTTGTAATACTATGTACACAGGTAGGTGGATGAAGTTGTGAAATAATAATTTTTGTGTTACGCGCTTACCGATGCGCACTGCATCCCAGAATCAATAAAATCCTAAAGGGTGCGACTGTTTCGTAATGCAAAACGTAGGTCAGTAATGCCAACTCAGAGTTAAAACGAAGGTTGTACATAATATAATAAAATAGAATCAACAGATGATACTGTTACAACTGGTGACGAGGAAGATAGCGACAATAGCACAAGTTGGGTGGGGTCGTATCCTTATCTTTTGCCTTGTACTTAAACTCTGGCCACCAAGATTTAAGCTGACAGCCAGTCTAAGCTGATAATCCAAGTTCGAAAAGTAATTTCCGGATCTTTAAAAAACCTATCAAAATGTTTGATGTAAAATGAAAATCACTACGTTCATTGTCGATATTTATTTCAAACGATGTCAAAGACAAAATCAAATTATCAAAACAATAAAACTACAAAATTAGTAGATTAATCGACAAACAGTTAAATTCCAGTACATCATCTATAATAGAAAACAAAGCTATCAAAGTAAATTTTTTCCCGATCGAGTAAAAATTCCAAAAAAAGATCGAACAATTATAAAATTCAACATTTAACATCAGTGTAATTAAAATCTTTACTTTTCCCGGAAACATTTTTTCAATTAGCTTCTTTGGCACTAAACTTTACCTCTCCAGGCACATAAAAGTCTTTCTGAATAACATTATCCGACCAAGTCGATGATAAGCTGTTTCTCTGCAAAATAAAAGTAGATACATAATAATATATACCTAATCAACAATTAAAATCTAAAATCTATAAAACACTAATCATGATTGACATTCATCAAAGCCCAAACCTTACCTACACCTAAACTAAGCTAAAATATCGAGATCGTGTAAAAAGTATGCACCACGCTACTAGGGGTAAAAAGTGTATGGAAAATATTATTCTATGATCATAATAATAGAAGTCGGAGAATTTTGCAGTATGTGACTTCATGAATCTAAGGATATGTGTCGGCAGCCACGTCTGGCTGCGTCTACGTAATATCTTAAATGCATTTGTGACAGTCTCCTTTTCTCGACTAGCTTCTCCTTTGGTGATTATAGATAGACGTTAAATTATATTTATTAATTAGATAGACATTATAGATGATAAATCTTAAAAGTTTTTCACCTTTTTTTGTTTCTCCTCCTTCATATCAATAAGCAATGATCTCAAAATCCTGTGGGACAGGAACAATCCCGTGCGTCTGATATCAGCCGAATCAGCATTTACTCTGCTATCGATCACGGCTTCTGCTAGTCCTTCTACAGCTTCACCCCACTCCACTAATATGAATAAATGTGCTTTAGTTAATATTCCACTTTTTGTATAGCAATGCCATACCACTGTCTTAATTCAAATACGGGCTCAAATATAATTTTGATGCTAGAGAATTCGAAAGTTCATTTTTTTATCAAGAAAATTTTACATAACGAACGTTACTTTATTACGTGTGACGTCATTCGGAGACAAACTAAGCCACAGGCTAACTATACAGTGGTGATGACGTGTTCTCCAGAATGGCAATACGCTTCTGCCGGTGAGTATGTGGATATGGCTAATTAAATTTACCACGTCGTTGTGGCCTAACGGATGAGACGTCCGGTGCATTCGTGTTGAAGCGATGCACCGGTGTTCGAATCCCGCAGGCGGGTACCAATTTTTCTAATGAAATACGTACTCAACAAATGTTCACGATTGACTTCCACGGTGAAGGAATAACATCGTGTAATAAAATGAAACCCGCAAAATTATAATTTGCGTAATTACTGGTGGTAGGACCTCTTGTGAGTCCGCACGGATAGGTACCACCGCCCCGCCTATTTCTGCCGTGAAGCAGTAATGCGTTTCGGTTTGAAGGGTGGGGCAGGCGTTGTGACTATACTGAGACCTTAGAACTATATCTCAAGGTGTGTGGCGCATTTACGTTGTAGATGTCTATGGGCTCCAGTAACCACTTAACATCAGGTGGGCTGTGAGCTCGTCCACACAGTTAAGCAATAAAAAAAAAAAAAAAAAAACACATTTCATATTTACTTACTCGGGTTCCTCATGTGGGGGAGCGTCACTTTCCCTATGGTTATATCCATACCTTTCTGCACTCTCTGACTTACTGATTTTGACAACAGCTTCGCTGCTGCATTGATCATCTATAAATATTTAAAATAAAATCGTTTTATTTACTATTCGCTAAATTTGATTAAAATCTGCTAACCTGCACTATACATATTACCTACATTAAAAACACAGCTGCCGTATACAGAAGTGACCTAATCAATCATTTATGAAGACGAGATACATGACATTTATATTTTATCACACATTAACTGATTAATTAATTAATTAATATTAATTCGAACCCTACACCCCAGCAGAGGGTAATAGGAAACACAGGTAGGTAGGTAATAGGACACATTAACAGTTGAAACGATTTCAAACTGTGTGACATCAACAAATATGTAATTCATTTCTCTTCTATGAATATAGCAGTAATATAGACAAATAATCAAATCTAAAACTCTTTTTCAGGTTATCGAAATATCTCAATTGACTATTTGACTCTTATCAATTACTTTAGTCTAAAAGGCAATAAACATTTTGCTAGAATCAGTACACTAAAATGAATCTATCTGGATTGATTTCCATCGTTATCACAGTTAGTGATTTTGGTATGTAAATACCTGTTCTAGTGGTGATTTTGGAAACATGATATTGAAACTAGTATACTTTGTTCATTCAATTGACATTGAAACTAATTATAGAAGCTTTTCAATTTGTATTAAAAATGAGAAAAATATATCTTGTACTTTTGTTTTGGTAAAGGTAGTCAGTAAATGTGGCTATAAAGCCGAAACAAAGGATTATATGTATGATTTCAATTGTTGGAATAAGGACGAACTTCTTAAAGAAATATATATTTAGGAATCATAGTGACCGACAGATTTATAGGGGACAAATAGCACTATAAGCCACTACCCAGCAAATGGATGCACTTTAAATTCAACAAACGCCTTTGTCTACAAACAACCTACAACCTTGTATTGGAACTATTGTTACTATCATTAGTTCAAGGCTATTTTAACAGTTGCTTGATGATTTCTATGATTTATGATATATAACAATAAGACTCTTAGACTTGTGTATTGAAAATTTTATGAGGCTTATTCCGGTTAACTTTTCTCTTCAGTACTTGGCATTTCTAGTTAAGTTTTGATGGCGCAACAGTATTTTTTTTAGAATAAGTAACAAGGCCAATCTTGTAATTATTTCAGTGGTGATAGCATACAATAATGGAAAGTTCGAGTTCGGTCGTCGTACGACAACGTTGTGGGGATTATTTACGATTTCATCAAAGCACCGATTCATCCCAATTTTAACAAAATAACTCACGAGAACGACATAGGTGTATTGCACGCGAAAACAGCAATCACTTTTGGGAGGCTCGTAAATTTTGCAGCTTTAGTTAGAGTAAAGTATGTAATGCTTGAGGAAGCTATTATGTGGGGGAACCGTTGGTTGGAGTATCACTTCAGTACATTAAGTTTTACATTTAATTAAAAAATTTATAGATATATGACACAATTAACAGTATTTTATTGGGTTTTCGTAAGTTGTAGATAAAATAAAAACTACTGTTACTAAGATCAATGAAGATATCAAGAAATATTATTATGCAAAATTAGACAATAGTTAGCACAATATTCAAATATCGCTCTACCCGACTGTTCTAGAATCTATAACTGTATACAAAGTTTTCTGGGATGGTTACAGGGTAATGTAACAAAGTGAAAATTTTAAATTAATGGATTAAATTTTTCGAAGTTTTCATATCGCAGTTTGCTCTAGCTATCCATAAATAGAGCCACTTTTGGGATGTGACTTTAATGAATGATAGATCTCAAAGTTTAATCTAGTGGTCGAAAAAATGATGTATCAAGCCTTTTTTAAAATGATTCTGTTTTAAAATTCAATTACATAATTCCAGTATTCATGTTAAATGTTGAATGTAGCACGGAAACATTTTCGACATTAAATCGAATATAAAACACAAATGATCATTCCTATATTATAGCTTAGCAATAGTATACATTTAAAAATCCATCTTGAATGTTCATGGATTTTGTAAAATCCACTTAGACGGATACTTCACTAACCTCAAGAAGTTTCTTTCTCTCTGGCAAATAGCTTCCAACCGCGACCGGGTCGGGAAGATCTTCGACACGATCCGTAAACGTCACTTCAGCCAATTTCGTCATTGAAGGCTGCAATAGAATACCGCATCTCAGTAGGGTGATATACCACACTAAGAATATACTTGAACAGTCGAGTTGTTTGTTTACAAGCACCGATCAAACCAAAACCTTAATGCGGTCAAATTCGTTTTGTTACTACCACCGTCATGAATTACATTAGTGATACTATGATATTTTTCCCAGTATACAAATTATGAGATCGAGACGAGCTTCTTCTGCAAGTGTCGAAACAAATGAGAGCATAGGGGGAAGATTATTTAAAGGACTGTGCTCTGAAGCTACAGCTTCAATTTCCAGAATCAACCATGACCAAAAAGGCACATAAAAGAAGATTTGGTGATGCCAAAACTTACACTTTGATAAGAATACATTTAGGTATATAAAAAAAGGTACGTCATATCTATAGATAGGCAATGATAAATCAGTTAAATAATATTTTCTCTTCTAGCTGAGGACTAATTTTAATCGACTTCAAAAAGGAGGTTCTCAGTTCGACTCAATTTTTTATGTGCTCCCTCGGAACTTTTTTTTTTCTTTGATGTTATTTTTTCATCACTTATTTGTTTGGAATTAATTGTTTTATTCATAATTTATATCACAAAAGAGAAAATGTTTAAAGATTGTTGATGTGTCAGTGATTATGATTAACTTTCAAAAAATGGACGAACACCTACTCGTGGTACTTTAAAATACGATCATATTTTGTGGTTCTTTGTTGCGCGAGAACTTTGAATGTGAGCGTAAATAACGCAGTATTCTGTGTTGTTTACATATCTGCTTCTTTATGGCTGTGACCGCTACTTACCACGGGAGTGGGAAGTCTATCCTTAACCGCCTTCATTTCAGTTTCAGCAGTAGTCTCGGCGGCAATTTTGGTAATATCTCCAAAGCATATGGATCCCCCACCGCCGTGGACGTCTATATACTGACGGGCCAGCTCCGCCGCGACTTGTACAGACCAGCGAGGCATTTTTGTACTGATGAATGAAAGAATCAAATACTTAAATTTAAAAAAAAAAACAAGGTATACTCCACAAGCCTTTTTTTCGATCACTATTCATTTTAACAATTTGTTTTTGGGAGCCGAGGTTTGTAAATAAATAATGTAAATAATTGGTCCCAAATCAGGATTGTAACCTATGCTATGAGTACTGGAAACCCCCTTTCTAGTGTCTAGATAGGTGGGCGAGCTTACACCACATTTGGTGTTTTTTTTAATTTGTTTTTTTTTTGTTGCCGTATAGTCAGACGAGCATACGGCCCGCCTGATGGTGAGTGGTTACCGTCGCTCATGGACGTCAGCAATGCCAGGGGCAGAGCCAAGCCGCTGCCTACCGTTTAATACTCTCCACAAGCCTCGTTTGAAGAAGGACAGGTCATAGCGCTCGGGAAACACCGTGGAGGGGAGCTCATTCTATAGCCGGATGGTACGTGGCAAAAAAGATCTCTGGAAACGCACTGTGGATGAACGTAGTGGCTCCAGGTAGTATGGATGAACTCTACTCCGGTGGCGGGCGGTGCAATGGTAAAAACAAGATGTCGGTATCATCTCGAACAATTCCTCAGAGCACTCCCCAGAATTAAGTGGTTACCAGGTGTTAAGTGGTTACCGGAAACCATAGAAATCAAGCATCTGCCCACCATCAACGACAGTTCAAAGAAAAAATTCTCTATCCTAGAAATCATTCATGAACATGTGTTAAGACGTGTATAATGTACGTACCTACCTGCGGGTTTCAAAACCGGCATAGTCCTATCACTTGACACGAGTACATTCGGCGTCTTATCCTGTAGTCCACAAGGATATCATGGCATACGGAACAAGACTACGTCCGACCAGCGGTAGGCAGCGGCTTGGCTCTGCCCCTAGCATTGATGAAGCCCATGGGCGACGGTAACCACTCACCATCAGGTGGGCCGTATGCTCGTCTGCCTAAAATGGCAATAAAACAAAAACCAGAATAAATCCTTGATTAAAATAAGTCTCTGCGACCAGGAATCTTATCAGGACACTGTGGTACAGTAGCTTGAGTCTGTAACGACTCGAGCAATGAGAAGATCGATGATTCTCAGTCCGGCTAATTACCAGATGGTGACGCCGCTCAATGATGGAACGATACTAAAGCGATTGCACAATAATATGGAGAAGGAAATGTTTCAATTTCTGTGGAAGGGTCTGGAAGAGACATATGTTAAAGCAAAACTATTTTACCGATTCCTGAAGAATAAAGCTTAATATCATTTAAGTTAATACACATTTAAACACATCAGAAAGGATATATTTTTGAACTCAATTAACCTCTTTCAACATCTCTATCATTCGCAAAATTAGTATTATAGTCCTCGTATTATCCATCAACTCCATCGTTAGAACAGGCAGGAGCAATCCATATATTAATACGTGATGCAAAAACTTTGTGCCCTTTTTACGAAAATTACGTGAAATTTCCCACACTTATAGAGAATATAGAGAAGCAGTGCACAATGCTGATACTTTTTTGAAATAATGCATAAAAAATACATTAAATCAATAAAGAAAACATTACACACACTACCACGTATTTGACACACAAACATATTATACTTTTTCTTTATTGTTAAACTATTGTTATTGCTTAAAGTCTGTAGTAAATGAGAATAGGTTAGTATTGTTTATCTTTAATATTACGAGTATTTGTCTATAGTGTAGTCTTGGCGAAATCTGTAACAATAGGACCATAATAATGTTGAAACTTATAATTTCAATTAATTATAGTCGAGTTTCGACTACTGTGGGACCACTAGTACGATACAATACCGCCAAATCGTTTTCTTATCTACGCAAATAAATTTGTATATAATATTTTTACCGTTTCTTTTCGGTGGTCGGGCGATAGTTCCTGAAGAATACTTGTGACGCTTTAGTAAATACCATCCGCTCCACGTCCCTGAGTAGACGATGTATTCGACGACGTGCAAATTCTCTAACCGCCGCCTCTAGCATCTGATAAAGGTGATAAACGAATATTTAATGAATGCTAAGCGTAGAAGGGCCTAGAACTCATGTGTGTATTGAAAAGTGTTGTGATTGAGCGTAGGGTTCTGATTGCGAGTCAGGGTAGCTGACGATGAGTTACAATCTATCTGGTATTCAGTGGTTACCAGTGTCTTTAGGAATGACAAAGTTATTGTCGCCATCAAACGTGAGATATTAAGTCTCAATTTTATTGTATAATAACTGACTCACCCATTAAAGTAAAACTAATTCCCGTGATTACTTCCCGTGCGTGCTCAAAAGAAACTCTACCACACGGAAATACGCATACTATGAGCCAATAACGGCAATCAATCCACGGGCCTCGGTCAATACTTAACACTAGATGGGAAATGAGCTTATTCAAGCATCTACACAATAAAAAAAAAACTGTAGAAAAGGTGCGAAAAACGAATCGCTCGTCCCTTATTATAATAATAATAAAAAAAACAACAATCCACTTTCTGACCCTCGCAATTCATGCACACCCTCTCAGTTCATATAAACATATATATAAAAACAATAGAAACCAATATGTTAATACAAACAAGAAAAGATGTTGAAGGGTCCATGCAATTCGTGACGAAGGTCAAACTAATAAGAGCAAAGACGGAGAATACGCAAGTGAACCTACATAAATTAATACATTACTATTCGCCGAACCGAGCCTACTGTGAAAACACGACGCGAGTAGTTTTCAAGATTCAGATTATACTCGATCAAAATATTATTAAGTCCTGTCGGTTAGAGCATTCCCTGAATGTAAATGGACGTGATAAAAACGACCAGAGTGTTATCCTATTTGGTCAAATTCTCAAGAAAACATGACAATTTGTTTCAAAATGTTCTAATGGTTAGAGTAATGTCATCAATGCTAATTTATACATACTAGAGGTCATCTTTTATGCATTATTTTAAGAAAATATTAGCATTGTGCACTTCTTCTCNCGTCGGTTAGAGCATTCCCTGAATGTAAATGGACGTGATAAAAACGACCAGAGTGTTATCCTATTTGGTCAAATTCTCAAGAAAACATGACAATTTGTTTCAAAATGTTCTAATGGTTAGAGTAATGTCATCAATGCTAATTTATACATACTAGAGGTCATCTTTTATGCATTATTTTAAGAAAATATTAGCATTGTGCACTTCTTCTCTATATTCTCTATAAGTGTGGAAAATTTCATACTCCTCCGTCCGCGCAAATTTCGTAAAAAGGGATACAAAGTTTTTGCTTCACGTATTAATTTAAAGATTGTTAAGGTTAAAAACTAAGATAATCAAAATCGAATCATTTGGGAAGTTAAAAATCTCAATATAAATACTATATAAATAAATTAATGAAAAACCTAATATTAATTGTATATTTTTAAAAAGATCATTAAGTTCTGAGCCTTATTCAAAATTCCAAATCTCCTACCTCTTTAGAATGCTATACAAGGAAACTTCTAAAGTCATTGTTGTCTTACCTCATCAAGTAATTTAATCGGAGCTGATGGTAGAACTGTCTCCATGTCCATTCTAGCACGAGCCTGTCCCAGTGTCATTAGAGCATCGCCTTGCGTCGACACCGCCGTCGACATCGCTTCAACGGCAAGACGTTGAGCTAATTCTGGACTCATTCCTTTTGCGCCTCGCTTTGACTATCAAGATAACACAATAGTCAATATGATAAAACAGACGTCACTAAAAGCGGAAGTCACACGAAAATATTCTTAATGTATTTTGTATCAGTAAGATGCTCACATTTATTGGTGTCACATAAAAAGCTAACCATAATATATACAGACGAGAACTAAAAAAAAAGGTTTTATCTGTAAAAATAAACAGAGACGTCATTAAATTGTACAATGATGTCACTGTTCACATCTGCCATACAAATTCTGTATAAAAAGTCGCTTTACAAGAGAGAGACAGATAAGTGTGTATACTACACACTTATCTGTCTATATATATATATATATATATATAAATGAATTGCTGTTCGTTAGTCTCGCTAAAACTCGAGAACGGCTGGACCGATTTGGTTAATTTTGGTCTTGAATTATTTGTAGAAGACCAGAGAAGGTTTAAAAGGTAGATAAATATAAAAATGCTCAGAATTAAAGAATAATAACAATTTTGTTTTCCCTTTGATGTGTCCCCGTCGGACGGATTCCTTTTGTTTGTTTTAAGTTTATTTTATACAAAAGTTTAGGTCTTTTATTTATCAATTTAGGCACTACGAAGTCTGCTGGGTCAGCTAGTTCCTCAATAAAAACTAGAAAGACGCACATTTTAGTACTTCATCTGACAATATACAATGTTGTGTTAATAATAAAGATAAATATGTAGTAAGTATATGTACATAGTTTGCCAAAGTTGAATTTACTTTCATTGTGAAATCATAGTTGACAGTTGACGTTTCCGTCAACACCGAACTTTGTTGATTACGAACTAAAGTGACGAAGGCAAGTTTAGTTTTGAGGTCCAATTTCGTGGGACAATTCCGTTGGCGTGTGCATCCTGCCCATAGAGCTGTAGTATTCTTCGAAAACAGTCCACAGTTTTGTATATTTAATACTTATTAACCCAAAAAAAGAATTCACTATGTAGTATCCTTCAAAAACATTCCACGGTTGTACATTTAATGCTTACTAACCAAAAAAAAATTGCTTTATTTTTCTTATCTGCTTATTGTTGTTTTTTTGTATATGCTTTATCATTTCCATGCTGTTGATTTATTATGTGTATGTAAGTCTAGTAGTGTGTATATCATATACTCATTTCATACTACTAGGTATATGTAAACGGTATTATTTACTATTTATTATTATATACTATTTATTCTATGTAAAATAATTTATTGTTAAAGTACACCGCAAAATACCTGCTGTATCTCTATCATTTTCAAAATACCTGTTATTAAAAAGGTTATCTGAGAGAGATCACTTTTAGCGGTACGGTATTGTACAAATATATCTGCTTGTTAACAATTTTTAAATGTTAGCTGTGTTTTGTTGTGCAATAAAGTATATTCTTCTTATTCTATTTCAAACTTATTAGCATTAATCTATCAGCCACGACTCTTGTCGCTAATATTCAATATTTTTTACCTTTTCGAATTCCACACCCATTTTCTTCACGAGCTGAGCCACTTTTGCCGTCCCACCGTGAATAAGCTTCCAGTTGGCCAACCTTATCCGCTGCAATTCCAAATCCGTGTTGTAAGCATAAATCTCGGCCTTCCTGTAACGAGTCATTAAAAGGGAATCTTATTAAGTTTATTGCGTTGTAATTACACTTGAGATCATGTAAGCTTGGATAACGTTTTACGTACGTAATTAAGTTGTCGGATAATCAGAGAACGAATATTTTGTTAGAGAAACGAAATACAAACAGGATTAGAGGTTGAAAGGTTGATTCGTTCTAGTTTTTTTTATTGCTTATATAAGTGGATGAGCTCACGGCACACCTGGTGTAAAGTGGTCACCAGAGCCCATAGACAACTATAATGTAAATGCCGCCACCCATTAAGAGTTTCAACAGTTTTAACAGTACACTTACTCTATCTATTGCTGTTCTAAACTTACAATCGCAAGCAAGTAAATGATTTTAATTTAATTGTTGCCAATGTGTCAGAGAGCACTTGTGAACGCACACCACGTCAAGACAATTAAATAAATCGAGAGTGGCATCATAATTTTTTAGTAGGTATTTTCTCTTAAGCTGAATTGCTGTACGAAGAAACTTACATACATACAAAATGTTTAGTTTTCACTAATTAAAGTTGCGTTCCCGACAAAAAAAAGAGTTTGCTATCATCTATAATTCTATACTAAAGTTGTAAGAGTTAATTTTTATTTCATTGTATGTTTGAGATAACTTTTGAAGGGTACGAATCAGGTTTATTGCGTTCTGTTTGTCTGAAGGTATAATCTAATAGTTGGATTTGCTACGCATAACAAGAAAGATGGGTATTCAGGTTGTGATATTTCACGTCTTTGTAGATCCCATCTGTGGCCAGCTTTAAGATCAACAAAAAGAACTGAATTAAAAAAAGAAACAGCTATTCCAAAATTTTAGCACTAGCGGATCTGATGAACTCCGAAATCGAGAGACTACGACCGAACTATTTTGTTGAAGTGTCTCAATTTCGGAGTTCATCAGATTCGCTAATAATAAAATTTTCGAATACCTTTTTTTTTTTCAATATTTTTTTAAGTTAATACTTTACGATAATTTGACTAAATATAATTTGTATTACTTTGCTCGTCTTCTGGCTCCTGCCGTCATATCTTCAGTGTACAGTTTTAGTAGCAAAGCTTCTTCTTGAATCTTTTGATTCTGCGCTTCGACTCTTGCCTTCCATTTGCTATTTGCCTATAAACATACAAAACTCTGAGACTACTGCTATAAATAACGTGTAACAATATCTAGCTTAAATCACATACGATGCTTTAAAATTACATCATTCCAAGCATCGATCGCCGTTCTCGTCGAACTCGCCGTCCGCGATAAAGAGTTCGACGTGCAACTTAGCCCACAGACTCAACCCGCAGAGTAACTCGCCGGATTTTCTCAATGCGTTGCGATTTTTTTTCCTACATATGCTGATGCTGAAACCTAAGATGCTGATAGCCTTGAGAGGCTATTTCAGCTTCACCTTAACGTGTAGGTGAGCTCACGGGGCTCAAACTGGAAGTGTTGCTAACACTGGCTCTAGCAAAAGCAGTGATTCGCAGACTCTACCACTGGATCGGAATCGCGACCCACTGAGAACATCCAGTGAGAAACTTAGTGGGCTTTGTCTGTGGGTTGATTTGTTCACCGAACCCTTCGTCGCAAGCGACGGGTTCGACGCAGACGGTAACCGGTGCTTGACCTAAAAACACCAAAAGTGAATCCGGGGGATCCGACAAGGCATGTTTTGGGCGAGGGCGACTTTGCGGGCGAAATAGAAACTCAGTGGGCTAAATTGACGATTTCGATCCGGCGCTGGATGCAGCAATGCACTGCTCTTGCTAAGATGCAGAAGTTAGCAACTTCTCTCAGGCTAGGCAACGTAAGATTGCCTATCAGCCCACAGAAGCCGGAATAGCCCCTAGAAGCTACCGGCGATAACGTAAGAAAAAAGGGTACATTGCGTGCAACTCTTAATCAAAGTTTTCTGTCAATGCAACCCACATAAAACGCTTTGAACTTTTCCTTTCATACAAAAAGCATAATGAAATAGCCAATAATTTTGTCACTAGTTCAATCTTACCATAATACCCTTCTACAAGCACTTAAAATTAGGGTGAAGAGCAGACGAAGTAAGATGCTGAATGAAGTCGAAGTGACAACTGCCAAAGATGGAGAATAAAGATCGCCAAAGAAACAATCATTAATATCGTCTGATTAGTATCTACATTTGTTTTACCTCCTCTTCCAATCTCTTTAGCTTTGCCTCTCGCTCTTTCTTGACTCTATTTAATCGTTTCCTCTCATTCGTTCTCCATTGTCGCACCATCGTGATCTTCCTTCGTAGTTCCATTTCAGCTGCTGCCTGTACTCGTTGTTTGATCCGGTTTTGTTTTTCGAAAGCCCGAGCGGCTCTCTCCTTGCGCTGTTTCTCATTGTATTCCGCTAAATACTTCATACGAGCTTGTATTTTCTTTTCTTGTTCTTTTGCTCTACAACAAATCACATAATCTGTTTTATATTTTATATTAAGAGGACAGGTTTTCGACCGTACAAGGAAACTATGTATCTAGTAGTATGGTAGCAATGGATCTAGTAACCAACTCTAGCAAGTTGGCTACTAGATCCATCCATTATAATTTAACCTTTTGTTAAAACGCTTAGCAAAAATAATGCACAAAAGATGCTTCTCAACATTAAATATTTGAAATGTTTAACCTTATTAGTTTGATTGAGATCAAATTGACGCCAAGGATTTAAACATTTATTATTCATGAAAGTTAATGGATATTTTGAGATCAGAGAGAAAACAAATTAATTTGATCTTGAATCAACATAATGGATATAAAAATTTCGTATCGTTAATAAAATCTAAGTTAGCATAAAATTATAATTGTTGTTCGAAAAGAATTTCTTTTCTTGCAAAAAAAACTGCGTAAAAATTCTAACTTCAAAAAGTGTTATTTATGTAGTCCATAAGAAATAGCGAGCAGGAGTAATTTCAATTAAAACTCGCTTACGCTTTACGCTCGACAGGACAAAGCTTCATTTCGTAAAATTATATTTTATACAAGAACGAATTGAAAAACTTTCGAATTCACGAATCAAACTTTTATAGACAAAAAACTTTTTCTTCGATTGTCTTGTAAAACAAACTTTAGGTTTGACTTTCCTAACCATCATTCTTAAAACAATACATTAGTAATTTATTTTAAGAGATGGTGAATATTTAAAAAAATTTTTTCCTACCTAAACTGATAGCCTTGTGAGGCTATTTCAGCGTAACCTTAACTAGTAGGTGAGCTCATGGGGCTCAAAACTGATGACGTTGCTAACACGAACCCTACCGAGAGCCGTGCTTCGTAGAATCTACCACCGGATCGGAAAAGCGATCCACTGAGAAGTTCCGGCGGGAAACTCAGTGGGCTATTTTTAAACATTCACATGATAATACAACCAATGAACATACTGCAATCGTTTCTGCATTACCATTGATTTATTATAGCAACAAAGAATGCAATTAGCACTAGTATTTATCAAATAACTCTCCGCAACAATTCAAACTAGTATTTAACTAATATACATTCCTGAAGCAAGCTAGACTCAAGTGCTAGGAATTCTAGACGTTGATGAACCTTAAATAGGTTATGTTAATACAAGTTTGAAGTTTCAACTAGTAACAGTGACAGACACGCAATCTGCAATCCGTTTGCCTTCATTTGCGCGCAACTAGTCCATCCAGAGCCCATTGATATCACAAGATGCTCACCGCCACCAATCTTGATACATTAGGTCCAAGTTTCGATCGTATTGTTTAAAGTTTGTCCCTTACCCTTCAAATTGGAAAGCATGGCTTCGCCGTAAAAATAGGCAGGATAGTGGTAGCTATCCGTGCGAGTATACAATGCGTACCATCACTAAAAGCCGGTTGGTGATCGCAGTACCCTGGTATGATATTCAAAAAATGCTGCTGTCCATTCTCCGGTGAATCCATTTTACGACATTCACGGGAAGAGGTAGGGTTTTTTTTATTGCTTAGATGGGTGGACGAGTTCATAGCCCATCTGTTGCTAAGACAAGAGTACTAAGGTCTCCAATTTTACATTACAACGGCTGCCCCACCCTTTTTTTTTTGGTTAGGGGCCGACCCTCCTACGAGGTCCCCGCGCAAAAGGGGCGCGCGGGGTATGTGAGACTCAACGATCTGCATGGTGTTGTGAGCAGACCCACCCTTCAAACCGAAACGCATTACTGCTAACTAAAAAGTTAGTAAACTGCATTAGACATAAATAAACGTCTCCAACACAATGGAAATTTTAATTGAATTATGCAAGTTTCTACGCTAACATCCTAGCATGCATCGTGAACATCAAACGCGATTCGGCTCCGTGCATAAATCGATGCAGCCACGAATACGAAAACGGATTAATATTAATCCAGTTTGGTTCTACAGTCAACGCCAAGGACGAGCGAACATCGCCGGCGGGGTGGATGTGACATTATGTCAATTAACCAAGACAGTGACAATGTCGTGTTCGGAAAATCAATTAAGTTTCGTTTTTGGTGAAAACGGTTGATGCGAAGTTATTTTTTGGACTGAAAATTAAAAACAAGCGGTAATCGCCGTCGTTGCCTCTATTCAACATGATACTATGTAGAAAATAGTATTGCAAATCTTGATTAGATATTGAATTTCGTATCTGTTTTTAATAAGCTTTTATTAGCTTGACTTCTCTATCCGTCTATATTTGTAATTTTCAGCGTAATTTATAGTAATTTCAAGCCGTCTAACTTTAAAACTTACACATATGAACGATTAATGACAATACCATAATTTTATTATTTTGCCTTAATATCATAACAATGACAAATAGGATGAAAATAAGTAATATTTTAAAATTTAATTCGCTTTGCTATTACAGCATATTCTTTTAGTTCATAAGGTAGATATATACTTTACATAGGTATAATTAATCACACCGGCTTAGGGACCTTGATAACCATACTGGTCTAACTTGGCACACAGTTCGATGTGCAACCTAATTCAAACATCAGGTCGCTGAGTTTTTTGCTGGATCTTCTCAGCGCATCGCGAGTACGATCCAGTAGTAGGTTCGGAAAGCAGCTGCCATTAAACCAACTTCGGAGGCGCTCGCGCAGCTATTAGTGCCTAAATCTCAATTCTCCTGGCTGACCCCATGCTCGCCTACCTGTCCTGGTGAAACTGAAAGGCAACCGGACCACCAGTAATCCTTCCTTTCTAAAAAAAAAGGTAATAAACGTAACGAAATTTTCACTAACTTCTATTTGATGATTATGATTTTCATTATGAAAATTGCCAATTTCATAATATATTTCAAATGACAGTACCAATTTATTATACTAATAGAGTGGCCTGATGGTGAACCTGAAAAGAGAGGAACAGCATCCCTGTCTGACATTTTAAGGTATTCAGGAATGCTCTGTGTATAAAGTTACATCTGGTTTAGGCGAGTTTGAAAATAATCCCCAAAGAATATTAAATAATTCGGTTTCTACTTATTTTCTCTTTGGCCTTCGGAGGAAATCCCTAAGTCAAACAAACTGCCACAACTTAAGACAGAGTTATTTTTGTGTGCAAAAAAAAGGGTAATATTCCTAAGCATGTCTTCCTAAGCCTAAATAATACTAGCTGACCCGGCAAACGTTGTTTTGCCATATAAATTATTTCTAGGAAAGATAAATAACCTAGATACCGGCTGCAGCGCCATCTGCCGGGCTGATTTGTAAATCTAAACCATTTTCGAATCCACCTGAAGGTACAAAGAAAATTTCATTAAAATCGGTCCAGCCGCTTAGGAGTTCAGTGACAAACACATGCACAGAAGAAATATATATATATATTAATATATAGTATTACGAACAACGAAAAAAGTCAGTGAAAACAAAAGCATTAGAAACAACACCTACGCTATCCATGAGTACAAAAACTATATGGTGTTCGAAACATCGGATATCATAAAATAAACGCGAATAAAATTGGGTATTGGAAGTCTTTTAGCAAAGCATCACACAAGCCTGACCCGAATTTGTAACGCAGCTTGAAAAAAGCTTGCAAACGTATAGATACAGAAGAGTACAAGTGTAGGTTTTTTTTTTGCAGAACAGAGCGCCTGTCGTATCTCCTAGCAAGGCTAAAGACGTGCGTGTAAATTGGATACTGGAGTTTTCCATTTTAGCTACATTTGTTACACCCTCCGATATTTCTTCCCGTTAAAAACAATTATCCTTGATGATTATGCATTTAAGACCATTCGAAGACTTTTGGACGTATCTTTTATTTTTACGGAGGATATTTAAGGAATTCTCATTACTGCTAATTAGCAGTGCTAATACTAGGATTACTAGGTAGGGCATAACTTGAAATTTCCGGGTACGTCCATTAAAAAATCCGATATTCAAAATGTTCGTGATCTATGTTCATCCACTTCCCCCTCAATATCTCGAACTAAAACAAACTATGTAATATAGCCCACCAAAATTGCTACTCGAGTGAACTAAAGCTTGGAGCTTTATGATTGTTTAAGTTAAACATTTTCGAACTATTCTTATAATCTATATATATAAAAGAAAGTCGTGTTAGTTACACTATTTATAACTCAAGAATGGCTGAACTGATTTGGCTGAAAATTGGTGAGGAGGTAGCTTAGAACCAGGAGAAGGACATAGGATACTTTTTATCACGTTCCCGTGGGACGTGACATAAAACGTCATATAACAAAACGCAACTGATATGGAATAACAAAACGCAACTAACAGCTAAACGTAATATATTCTATGGTTAATTATCGTAGAATTTTGAAGTTGACGTGTTTAAAACAAACAGTGTGGCGGAACAAAGTTCGCCGGGTCCGCTAGTTTTTAATAAAAATGTTGAATGAATCATGACTCTTATTTATATTGATAGCATTGACAATTAATTAAACATATAAACATCAAAATAAAATAATACAATAAATAGAATTTGTCTTTCACTGATATTAAAATGTCAGCTTGTCAATTGTCCGACGCCTTACTTTAGAATTCGAAGGTCGCTGTCTCCGAACAATTTGAAACGGGCGTTTTCTTTTGTACCTATATATTAAAATTTGTATAGTTTAGGCCTTATTATAAAATTTTTTTATAGATTATTTATTGCATGACGAAATTAAGAAAGTTACATTACAATTTAATTTTAAGATAAAAAAAATAGTGTTCTTATTATAAACTTTATCTATTCTATTTTAAGGGTTAAGCAATGACAAATTACAGTTCTATGAAATATTGTGGAAGCAAATGACTTTTTCGACATACAAAATAAATGTCCTTTCTCAATTTCCTTTTCCTTTCTTACTTTCGATATTTTTTCCCATTATCATTAGCATTAGCTTATGATAGTTTATTTGATTTCAATTTATTTATTCAATTTGTTGATTTAAAAACATCACATCAAGAAGGCCTGTCTGAGTGGACC